CTTGTATCCATCAGGCAGGCACTAATATAAAGTAGCCTAATAATACATTGAATAAATGTTAAATAAATCAAAGTAATGGAAAAGCGCCAAATCAATCAGCAGGACACCGGGATTTTTTCTGACTAACTGTGGGGCTGTAGGCTGTACACACGTCAATGCTGTTCGAAAATAAATGCAGTCTGGTCGGACTCGGGTCTAATTTCATCGGGTCTGTCTCGGGTCTGGTTTAAAAAAAAAAAAAGTATTTATGCACGTCGGGTTGGGGTAAGAAGTGATTCGGGTCGGGTTCAGATTTTAGGACCCGAGAAGACCTCTAGCGCCATGCATCTTCTTTTTTAAGTGAGATAAGACACAAGCAAGCCCATATAGAATCTATGCACCCAAAAATTCTCCAATATTTTAGCAGATTCTTCCAGAATTCAAATGGAAATCATTTAAAAAGATGCATTAAATAAGTGAGTAACACTATAAGGTAAATTCATTGATGTTTAATTAATGCATTAGGTATCCTGAGCTAACAATAAACATAAAATTTTACAGGTTTTATTAATCTATGTTTATGTTAATTTATTTATATACTGTTTTTCATAATTTATTCTTGTTTGTTTATAATGCTAATAATTTCATAATATCACATAATATCAGCGGTTTTGAAACAACTTGGAATATTAAAAATGTACAAATTACAGTAACCTAAATTAATAAATGCTGTAAGAGAATTGTTAATTTTAAGTTCATATCTAATGCATTAACAAACCTTTTCAACAACTTAATAGTTTTCTACACATTAGTTTTGTTGTACAGTTTTAACAGTGTGCAAGGTGACTGGAGTTCAATTCCTGCCTTCATTTTTTTTAATAAACCAAGCGACACTGCAACTGAACTTGACAGACACAACTGTTGCTGGTATGATCACCAGACAACTGCCAAGGCTCACATTTTCTGAAAGGTGTGTATTTTTAACATCACATCACCTTAAATTGGGTGTGAATTATTATTTGAGGCTGGAAGTTGTATAATAGGTTTCTCTCTTTAAAGTTCTTTACTAGGTTATTAAGCCAATCCTGTGAAATATTTACGCCCAACTAACAGTAGAGGTTCAAATCAGCTTTAAGAAGGTAACTTCTCTCGCTCTTTTGATGCTGAATAATGACTGTTACCTTTCTGATATTATCAGCACTTGAGTATTGAGACCAAGTGGCTTTATTCGACCTTTAACCGGTCTTCTATCCGCCAGTTTTCTTAAAATCTGAAGAGAACTCATATTGATTGGTCCTTTTCAGATAATCTCCCACTGGCAGTCGCCAGGCTCTCTGAAGGTGTCTTACTTTCATCAGGCAGTAGATTTTAAGTGAATGCTCTGTTGCAATTTCGGTGGAACAAAAATTCTTTCCTATTTCCATACCAATAATACATTGACATTTAAACAGCCTTATTGGTGTCGAAATAATCTGATTACATTTCCCTCTTTCGGTCATATCAGTAAGCTACATCAGATCAGCATACATAACACCAGTGCACCAGTTGGCATTACAGCATGTCTTCACCATCTGTCAGTTGCGTATCTATCTGGCGGGTCGCCTTACTGGCATGCAGATATGCCATTGACATTTAAACCTTGGCCCTCACGCAAACAGGAATGCTAAACAGATCGAAGTTGGGCCACCGTCACTGAGGGCTAAAGGACGATTGTACTGCACAGGACCTTTCTGGGGGAATGCAATGATTATTCCCAGCAAGAGCAGACGTTCTGGATAAATACTCCCGTGGGTTGATGCAGCGGCGGAGAACGGGCCACACAAATCTGCTAAAGGGCACAGGAAGATATATCACCTTTTAAAAGATCAATTAAGCTAGTTAATGGATGACAGGAATTAATGTCTCTCATCTAGTAAAGTCAGTTAAATGGACATTCTCAAAACATATAATGCGCTACATCAAATTATCATACCCAGCACTCGCCTGCAGGAATCGGTCGTTGTCGCTTGTTATTGCATTAACAGATGCTGGCTGGAGGTAGGAATCCACTTCACTGCAGTTGCAAGTCATTTTCCCTGTTCAATAATTCAACCCGCTCCACGGGCAAAGTGTCGCTTGCTGTTGCCACCTTAATAGACGAGCCTTTGTTAACTTGTATTAATGTCAGATGATTTTAAGAGGAGATAGATGTATGCATGCTGTGTGCTGTCGAGCAAAAAATTGGATTAATTTAGATGATGGGAGATTGTAGTTGTTGCAGCCTCAGAGTTTCAGGTCATTGGTCATAATGAGGAGAAATACTAAGTCTTGTGTTTGAGAACTTTAGAATTAGGGAGGAAAATGGATAGAGAGAAACTGAGAGGTACATCGAGGACGGGAAATGAATTATATGCCCCATCTTGACCTGATATTAAAATCCATCTCAGGTGGTCTGGTCAGAAATGGTCATCTGAGACACATTCTGTTTGTTCGTGGTAGTGACGTGTCTCAAATGCCTCTCTTGTGTTCCCTTGTGGCCTTATTTCTACTCAGGACAGCTCTGAAGGTCTTAAAATATGAGAAACATAATAGGGCTGCATATCTATGGATTTCTTGATTCAAATCGATTCTGATTCACAAGCTGTTGATTTAATTTGATTCCGATTAAATTCCGATTGAGATTTGAATCAGTTTGAGATTCAATTTAGTTTCTATTTACTTAAGCACATTTCAATTAAAATGTCCATTTACACTCTTTCAAACCTTTGTTTATAGTGTTTCAAAATTTAAAAAAAGAAGAAGAATAAGAAAGAAAGAAATCAGGAACATTCAAACTAAGATTTTTTTAATTGGTTAAACTAAATTTTTTCCGAGCCCTAAAGCAAAAGTATTTTAGCATTTTAGTGTCATTCTTTGTTTCTAAAAGGCACAGAGTGAGGCATCTAAGCTTTGATGTGCAAGATGTGTTGGACTGAATACAAGGTGCAGAAGAAGAACAGAAAGCAAATGGCTCATTAGGAGGATTTGCTATTTTATTTTGCGCTGAGCTTTGGGAAAAGGTTTTGCAGTGAACACGAGGCCAGGCAGAATGGGAGCAAACACATCACACACTTGGGAATAGATATGCTAGGAGTTGATGACTACATCTCCCTGCAAGGTGAAACAAAATGAGATCAGAATAAGATGGTGCTTTTAAAGTCAGCTCCCTTATGGCTCTTTTGGTAAATTAAACTCTAAAAATAATTGAATGACATGTGGCTTCTGCATTTGCCAGTAATTGCCTTTTCTTGTGAAAAGCAACTCTCATTACCTTATTTTAGTTGCTCTTATAAACGTTTTATGATCCCAAAAAACAGAGCAGCTGCATTATTTTTCACACTATTCATTATTTGAAAGAGCTAGGGGTCTGTCATTGTTTGTGATAACAATGCCTGACCTGATCTCTATTATTCCTTTGCTTAAAAAATAGAGGGCAAAAGTCCAAAAAGATGAAAAATGTTTATCAGTTGCTATACAATGTGGTCAAAAGTTGAAAAGATGAAAAATGTTTACCACTTGTTAAAAAAGGGGGTCAAAGGTCTAAAAAGATGAAAAATATGTGCTTAAAAAAGGGTCAGGTGTCTAAATAGATGAAAAATGTCTACTAATTGCTTAAAAAGGGGGTCAAACATTCAGATTGTCAATCAATTTTTCATCTTTTTAGGCTTGTGACCCTTGTTTAACCTGCTTTTATCTGACCCCTGATCAGTCATGGCTTTCTTTGACTACAGCAAATGAGATGACCAAGTAACGTCCAATTTCTTAGCGTATTTAGCCTGATATTTTTCAAACTCCTCCTCATTAGGTCCATAGTTGAAGGTTTTTATCCTTGTGTCTCAAGTGAAGTGCCCTATTCAGGGTAGAATTTCAAGTGTGCACTAGCCTCATGGACATCAGACGGTGAATGAGGTCATCTGTAAGCCCCAACAATGTGCTGACAAAGACGCCAGAGGTGAGGTCATTGTGTTAAAAGGGTCACCACAGGTCACCCCCAGTAGCAGCCGCTCAACTCGCCCTCGCCCTCCCCCAATACTTAAGGTTAGTGTTCTGAATAGGTCATTCTAACTGGAGAATACAAATTGCTGTGTGCACTCGCGTCCAACTGATTTGCTTTCACCATACAGCACAAGATATTAATATTTCAAGCCATTTTGCTCGTAGTTCAAGCTGTAAAAAATTCTGATGGTGTTAGGAAAATAGAGATTGATTTACTGCATGCACAACATCCATAAAGGGAATGTGCATGCTCAAACACTCGCACACCTGTGCGCTTTGACAATTAAAACCGCTGTGATCTCATTTCTGCTTGATGCTGCTTTATACCTACAGTTCTGGTCGACATCTCGTCTCCAGAATGAATGATTTGTAAGTTTCAACAGCTGGTGTGAGTATTGAGTTAATATTTAGAAGAGTATTACAAAGGGAATATAAGTTGGAGATGGAGAAACATTTTCTTGAGGATTTAAAGGAGAGAGAAGAAATAATGAATAATTTTGTAATTCTGAGTCATTGGATTAGATATACTGTAATACTGTATTTTGGTAATTGAAGTCTAAATGTCTTTTTAAAAGACCGAACACAGTTTACTTTCATATGTCTGCGTTTTAGATTATTTTCAGAGGTAAAATCAATAGTACAAATGCATCTTTCATCAGAAAATTTTAAAACATAAAGGCTAATTTAAAAAATAAGAAAAAGGATTCAGATTTGAAAGGTGAGTGAAACTTAGCACTCAGCATTTAAAACTCGCTAATACCGTCAGTCAGGAAACCACATAAATAAATGACAAGGCAAGTTGTGGAACATCAACAGCATTCACATATGTGGACCCTTGCTGAACTGTATGCTCACAGAGGGTGTTTACTTTAATTTCTAGCCTATGTGGTATATTTAGTACACAGGACTGTTGAATTATACTTAAGGTTTGGATCAGAATTGCTGTTTTTAGAGGCTCCCCTGAACTGTAATTAAATCTCAGGGCGTGTACATATATGTGTATGCATATGTGCTCATTCGCAGACTCATGGCCCACATAAGCACATATATGTTGTGTAGACACGTACCCATGTGCTCATGCGAGCCACCTGTGCGATTCTGTGATTTGGGCTGTGCCATCAAACTAATGCTGTATAGTCATTATATACGTACATGGCCCCCTGTGGCTGCAGGACACATCAAAATCCAGCACAGTATCTCTCCAATGGCCTCATTTAGCTTCTGTGCCATACTCTGATATTTCCCACTTGGGCCAATCAGATAAGTCATACATGGCTTAACCACACAAAAGAGCACTTGGAACCCCAAGCGGATGCTGCACTAGGAAGAAGCATACTGGGATCCTTTAGATGAACACTTTTGAAACCCAGAATGGTATATGTAAAGCTTAGAGGGATTAAACATAAATAGAAAGCATTCTTTTGGGGAAAAGGAGACCATCAAGTTGGGGTTTTATCCACTTTTATTTTGCAATATGACCAATATCCTATCATATTCAAGTGTGTATGAAAAAAGTTAAGTCACTGATTTATTTTTTTGAAAAAACTAAATACAATAAGCATTGGATCAAGGCACATACAAGACTGGCCAAAGGGCATTCAATGCACTTTGGTCTTCAGTTGTAAAGAACAATTTAACTGTGGCAACTTAAAAGTGGCTTTGAAAAAAAAAAAAAAAAAAAATACAAATAAGAATTATATGAACAAAAAAATAGTTGACACTTCTTTTTATATTCCAAATAGAAAAGAGCCCAAATGTGTTTCTTACCATATGTTTTCTGCCCACAACGTATTCCTTTTTGGAGGGCAACATTGACATGACATGGTTAACTGTACCGAGGGATACGGTAAATGCTGTTTTCCTTTACTGAATGAGTAATATTGAGTTCTGTGTTGTGTTTTTGCCCGTCCACTTTGATTTGACTGCGAAGTAACCTTTCATTTGATCTGTGTGCTTCATTTGCAAAGAATTTAGGATTCTGTGCTGTGTTGCTACCTCCTCCAGGGCAGAGAGGAGGTAATAGATATCTGCTTCCTAAATGTTGCAGTGATGTAAAGCCTGGCAACATTCTGGAATGGGCAACCAGGGTTCCTAAACAAAACCGGAGTTTTCTGTGACACCGGAGTAAGTCTGTGCCTGCCATCCTTAGAATTAACAAAACACTTGTGTCTTTATTTCCTTTGATCAGTCACCTATGCCCTATATTCTCACAGCCTTGTTTTTTGTTATATTTATTTTTTCCACTGACAGCAACGTAGTGATAATTTTGACCTGTGCTTTATACTACATGGTTTTCTAAAATCTGATTGTTCAACACCGCAATGAAAACCCACTTTCACAGTTGACAAGTCATCATATCTCAGTAGAGCACAACGTTTTTTTTTTTAATCTAAAACCATAAGTAAAGGAAGTACAGTACAAATGACTACAAATATCTAAAATATAGAATTGCAGTTTGTGGCAGCATACACCGACAGCTCAGTGATGGCCTGCAATCGGAACCTTTTTTCCTTTTAATAAATTGTCCTTAAATATAAATTATATGGCAAATGTACATAACGATGCTTTCTCAGTCTTTTCAATCCAGTGTTTTGCAAAAGACCAAGCAGTCTCCAAGTCACTCATTTGCAATAAAATGTCTTTGTAATCCGTGCACACTATCATGAATGAGAGTAGTCTGAATCTGGTATTCCACTGTCTCTGTAGCTTCTGTTGTTGATGCTGCTTTCGCTGTGCGGGCTCTTGTAAAGACTTAAGCCATTAGGAGGAAAAATTGTGTGTATCACAAACTCCTCCTTTGAAACGGGCATGTGATTTATGGGAATCATTTGAAAAGAGCTCTCTCTAATCTCCAAGATGGAGTTGTCCTTCTTTGTTCCAGCTTCGGCATAATCGTCCTTCTGCCTGCGCCCTTTGTTGTATGTGCAGTTCCTGGAAAATAAGGAACCATTCCTGTGGACGTACCAGCATACCAGGGCCAACATGATGATAGCCAGAAGGGCCACCGCCCCTCCGATGATAGCAGCTAAAGGCAGATTGGAATTTTTGTAAGGCTCTTTCTCCTGCTCTCTGTTCAGGGTTGTGGTGGGATTGTACGTGTTCAGGGAACCAGTTTCTGTCTCTATGCAAACAGGTGTCTCGTCTGACAGGTAAATGTTACTCGTCTCCATAGGAACCATGCATATCCGATAATGGGATTCGGGCTCCAGAGCTGTGAGCAGGTACTCTGTTCTCTCCCCTTGGACGATGGTCTCAGTTATAGATCCGAAAGCAGGACTGTGGCCCAGCTTTAGCCAGCTGAGCCTCAGGGCTGTCATGGGCTGGGATACTCTCCAGGATATGTGCACCGTCTCTGCGCTACTGGATTTTACGCTTATTGTGATGATCTTACGACTGGATGGTGTCGTGCTACGATAGTTTCTTCCCAGCTCTGGACCCTTAACCACAGGTCTTTTAGTTACATATGAGGGCCACTGGGGTCGAGAGGGTGGCAAAGTGTTTGAGACTGTGCTGGTCTCATATGTGGTTGGGATCTCGGTGTCTGAGCAGCCAAACAGCTCTGTGGACAGGTCTTTGATGGCCATCCCTTTGACCTTATCGGGACCTTGGCACATGAAGCCACGCACGTTGACCTTAGACGGAAGACTGCGCAGCCAGTCACGTACCCACTTCATCCGGCAGTTGCAGTACCAGGGGTTGTTGCGCAGGAGCAGCTGGGTAAGGTTATCCAAGTCGTCAAATACCGCCATGGGCAGACTGCTCAAGTTGTTGCCTGACAGATCCAAACGGTACAGCTGTCGCAGAAAAGCAAAGGCACCTGCTGGCACGTGATTGATGTGGTTGTCTTGAAGATTTAGCTTCTCCAGGCTTGAGCCCGGCAGGTTGGCGGGTGGGTAAGTCAGGGAGTTCCGTACCAAAGAGAGCTCAGTAAGATTGACTAAATTGATCAAGGCCATCTCCCCAATGCCCCTGTTGTTCAGGAGGTTGCCATCCAGAACCAGTCGCTTCAGATTTATAAGATCCTGCAGGGATGCCTCAGAGATGGACGAGATGCGGTTGTCGTCAAAGCGAAGCTCCTCGATAGTCATTGGCAGACCGGAAGGTATGGTGCTGAGGTGGTTACGGGACAGGAAGAGCAGCCTCAAATGGTTGCTGTCCCGGAACGCACCCTCTTCGATGCTGACAGCTGACACGGAATTGTCATCAAGGTGTAATTCCTCAATGAAGGGAATCTGTGCCAGGGAGGCATGGGTGATAGTCCGGATATTGTTCTCCTGCAAATGAAGTTCCTTGACATTCAGCGGCAAGTTGGTGGGGAACTCATCCAGATTGTTGCAGTACAGGTATATCTTTTCGACGTTGTTTAGCCGTTGTAGATCCGTAGGGATCCCTGCGCTTTTGATGCGGTTGTTCTGTAGAAAAAGTACCGTAGCATCCTCTGGGATGCCCGAAGGGATGGACGTCAAATCCCGGTCATTGCAGTATATGAAAGTCCCATCGCACCGGCACTGCGAGGGACAGGAGGCTGAGGTCACCAACGGATTGGCCAGGCCAAGCAGAAGCCCAGCTCTGATGAAGAAGACGAAGAAGGACTTGTAATTGCTTGCCATCGCTAATGTCCTCCTTGCGGTTGTTGCCCTTAGAGGAAAAAGAAGGGGAAAAGTCAAATTTATGCCGTCTGAAGAAAAGGCAGTGTCCTGCTCTAATTGCTGTTTTATGTACAGTGCATTTCCTGCAGCGTCTCTTTCATTGTAAATAATTCAATTTAAGACAAAAAATACAATATTTCTGCTGCTGAATTAATGAAAAGAGGCTATTAACATTTTCAACGACGTGAACAAATGAAAAAACTATGGTAGCAAAACATGCCTGGGGTGTTTATCTTGATTGAAATCATTTTTATATCAAAACAATACAAAGTAGTGAAAAAAGGAAAAGGGGATTAGAGGAGAAAAAAATAAGACAAAAAGGGAGGACTGAGAGGTTCAGAAGCATGTCTAATTGAAATGGAAGGATATTCCCAATCAGCCATGGATGTAGATAACAAATCCTTAAACCTGCTAGCTTTCCTTGAATGAGATGCCTGTGTGTGAGAGGTTTCATCTTTTGCTGTGTGTAATGTAATCGCAGGCTCATGTTGTTTTACACATTTCTGCTGTTAGCCAGTGCATTTCAAGGCTGCTTTTCATTGCTGAAAACTGGTGGCAGAACACAGTCATGCCTTGTTGATTAAATGTTGTAAAATTGGCTTGTCCTTTTGCATGATTTTGGAGTATCATAATTTACAAATTTACAAAATATTGTAGGCTTGTAACCTGAAAGCAAATGAGAAGTGTTCTGAATTATGCCTGCCAAAATTGTATTGCTTATAAACCCAACTTTTACATTTGCTGCGACATGACAGTCAATATATATTATTGCTATATTACTTTCAGAGGCTATTACAGACTAATTTTTCTTAGGTTTCCGTGTGCATAATAAACTATTTTTTAGATATAATATTATATCAGTTAATCCTCTGCTGCCACCCAAAATCCAATGAGGCTTTAAGCTCTCCTTTCTATTCTTTCAGGAGATGTTTGTCCGTCTTGTCAAAGGGGTCTCTTTGGTTATATCCTGACCAGGCTGGTATTTGTTGAACTGATCCTTGTTTATACTGCTGACCTCCTGTCTTGTATTGCAGCGTCCACAGTTCATGTTATCAAAGGCTTTGCCATGGTAGATCAACCTTTAAAGCAAGCAGCTCCGCTTCCAGACAGACCTCAAGCAGCCTTCTCCTGTGCAGGCATGCAATTTCAGTGAATTTAATCACAAAAAAGAACTAAAACAAAAAGAAAGGAAATAAAAAAAGAGAGCAGAATCCTTTTATTCTAAGTTGCGATTCCTAATCAGACCCTTTTGTGCATAACAGAGAGTCCTCTTTCAGAAATGAATTGCTCCTGTCTCTCCCGAAGCAGACTGGTCATGGCGTATAGACCACTGTCCATCTGCAGTACGGTGGGCTCAAATCCAGGGCGGTTCGGTTCGGAAGTCAGGCTCTAAAGTCAGCCCCGAATCCTGTAGTCTTACTCCCGACACGAGCATGAATAAAGTATCCAGCCTCGTGGCTCGAAAGCCGAATCTCCTGTGCTGCTGTGACACTCCTCCTCCCTGGCTCTCGTTTCACGAACCTGTGCCCGATGTGCAGATGCCCACTCCTTCTCACATGCTGAACTTCCTACCGGCAGGGATAGAAAAAGAAAAATAAGTCAATAAGAGCAAATTCTTGTATTATTGACAGCATATGACATCTGAATACTTCATGACACCAGAAAAGTTACGTGGGCTTGTTGAGAATGAGTTATTGACTGTGCATAATATGCTGTTAGGCAGCATTTATTTAATTCTGTCATGATAGTGCCAAGGCTGAGATTGAGTCAGACAGCAATGCAGCCAGCTGCAATTGGCCACTGTCCTTCAAACAGAGCCGTTTCACGTCGCCATCGACAATACATTGACGTAAACCGATAGCTTTTTAGCTTTGGTTTTCAAGGTTTGCACCTAACATATAAAAAGTACACCACAATGGATTGGATTTTTATGGATTGTTACAGCCTGTAGATTGCTCCACTGCATTTGAGACTTATCCGATGGAAGGGAGGGAAAAGTAAGAAGGGTGTGTGGTTGAGATTGGAATTTGAAAGTCCCTTAAGCTTATTGGGTTTCTGTATATCAGGGGATTTCTTTGCCTCTGGGTAAATGACCACAGAGAAAAACCCCTGGCCTGCAGTCCTTTGATAGTGGACACTGTTTGTGAAACCTGGATTAGTGGAGATGTTGTGTGGATTTTTATAAAAACCTTTCTTTTTCCTCGCCTTAAGCCTGTGCTGCCAACATCCCCCCCTCTAGTGTTCTCTATGGTGATGGCTGAAAAGAATTCCTTTGCATAAGAAAAACTGACCACAGTTTGGGTTCTGCGACAATGGCCGAAGACTGTTCCCTCCTGCCTGGTGACGTTCTCCACCGAGCTGTGCTTTTTCTTTGAACACGCTCTGGAAGGAGAAGGCGAAGGTAAAAATAAGAGCCATATTGAAGCATATTGCTGCTGAGGTGTCAAGCAGCCACCAAAGGTCCCTTGGGCTGCCCCGACAGCGCTTGAACACAACGCCCTCGCACTGCTCAAAAATGTACATGTGAGATGAACGCACTTTATGTCTTGCAGACTCATGAATACCCAAATGGGATCCTCATGCAAGTTACCTCCGGTGGCCCCAAGGAGACGTTCGTGCTTCACCTACCATACTCTAATTTCCCACAGTACATCTTTCCTGCTACATAGACTGACAATATACATTTCTACAACTGACAGCCATCACCACAGTTTGTGCCCTTGCCTGAAATCCTTCTGCTGACCTGCAGGTAGTAACCTTCCTGTAGAACACGTTGGAGTATGTCAGGCAACTTTGAAACAGTTGTATGGAGTGACAAGGAGAGATTAAGGAACTGAAGACCTAATAATACACCCTATCCTTCTGTTGAGCCTAAGTGCTCCATGTGCATGATTTTGTATTAGTAGATTACCAAAAGCTCGGAAACAGCAGCTGTGACCCGACTTTAAGGACAGGTGATGGTTGACGGTGAGGTTTCAGTATACTGACATTGACTTAGTTGCTTCTTTTTGTTGAATCCTGAAACATTTTGAAAGATTTGCTTCATGATTGCCTAGATATATTGAAGAGGAAAATAAGTAGTTGCAGGAATGGTGAATGGTTGGTTAGCAATCGGTGTGCAATTTTCCAACTGTTCCGGGGAAATGTTGTATTGATTTGGAGAGTTATGCATGTAAAGCAACTTGCCATTTTTCCAGAAGTCTGACAAATAACAGACTGCAAAATTATGTGGAGATGGAATTGCTCTTGCTTTATGTACTATACTCAATGTAAATCATTTCCTGGAACAGGGCAAAAGCAAGTTGGCTAAATAAAAGCCCCTTTGTTTTTTTTTCTGCCAAGATACTTTGCTTGAAAGTATCAGGGTTCACTCACAGGTGGATGTGTATTTCATGATATTTCAGGTGAGATCTTATAGGCTTCACCTAAAGCTTGTCATGCTAGCTGTCTCAATGGGTCGTGCAAGCCTTGATCTGGCTGGATGATTGGCTGCATTATCATTTCTTTCTATTTCCCTGGGCTCCTCAGATTTCACTGAAGTGGCAGTGGTCCATTATTCATTACAAGTTAAGCATAAGGGCCCTGGCCTTCGTTCTTCTGCTTTACTGAACTCCTTTCACTTAGAATTATTAGCTTTTTCACATTTTGTTAAATCTTCAAGCCCCCTACCCCACCCACTGCTCATAGCCAGAGAGAAAAGGCCACTGAATGTGACGGGCACCTCCACTATCGTTCTAATAGGCCGTATTTCCCGTTAGGAGATCGTTCTAATGGTGGGGCCTGCTTCTGCTCCATTGCTCTGCTTGAAGTGATATTCAGTTGAGCATCCTGGTTAAAACGGCCACAGCCACGACTACCTTTTGCTCGTTTAGTGTCTTGATTTCAGAACATTAGAGTTGGGTCTGAGAAATGGGTTAAAAAGACATTTAAGGGGAAAAAAATCACATTCGAATGTGATTATACAGCATAAAAGTGCAGAGAGAATATATTTTTTTTAAGTTTTTTTTTATCAGTAAAAGTGAATTACTTTAGAATCTTAATATATTTGAAAATTGGAATATTAAATGCAAACAAATATTTTGCATTTCTATAGTGAAAATGCTTTTATATGAGGTTTTCTGCATTTTTTGAAAAATTAGAGTAATGGTTAAGATGGCAAACATTGCACTGCTCATCATTTTTAAATATAAGCGATGTTTTCTATTAGTTCCCAAAAATGCTGTCACACCTGATCAGTGCCCATGCATGAACGAAAACATTTAGGATGAAATTAAATTTGCTTCTTTATTGGTAGGTCCTGGACTGTGATTATGAAAAACAGCTTTCTTGTTTTCCATAGATAATAGATTCTGAACCCCAGGCGGGATTTGAACTAAATGCCTCTCTTTGTCATGTATCTTATGTCCATGAAGCCAAATCAAGCCTCTCTGAGCCTAGTGGGCCAAAAGATGAAAGATTTCTGCCTTCATATTTGGAAACGAGAAGAACGGTTTGGGCACGGCTTTAATATGAATTTAAGAGCAGGCTATTGTGTTAGCAGATCCCCTCTGTGTTCGGTTTTGGGGCAGATGATCCGTAGGTTTGTCCCTGGCTGGTGTTCAGGCAGTGAGAGTGGATTCTTGGGGAGACAGGGGTCTTTTTCTTTTGTACTGCACTGAAAAGAAAGTGGTCTGTGGCAGCTGCACTGTTTTCCCCACTTGGGGGTGGTAGGCGCTTCTGTATCAGGCCTGAGCTTGTCAGATACACACATACACTTGGAGGCTGAACCGGCACTTTAATTACCACATATGTACCCCCTGCATTGATACAGGGGGCAGCAGTTGCCGGACAAGGGCAAAAAGGGTTGGGTTGATTTACTGCACTGTACTTTTCGTTTCAACTCCAAAGCGGGGTAAATTGTATCTGTAATAAAGCTAAAATTCACGGTTCCTTTTTCTGTTTGCACTTTCTTTGTTACATAATTTGGACAGTATATTAAAGATATAAAACTTGAACATTTCAGGACATGAACTTCTAGGCTTGTTTTTCAAATGTACGTTTTAAAGAATAGCCTCACTGAGGTCAGAGGTTGGCTGCCGACATGAGTGGAGAATTCTATGAGAACGATTTGTTTTTGTCCTCTGCACAAAAGGGTGACAGACTTTTTTCTTAAGGCCTGAAAGACATGACCATTTCATGTTGACTGAGTGAATGCCACGGACCACTGGGTTTAGCCTTCGGCATTCGTGGCTTGAAACAAAAAGTGCTGTTCGCCTGGCTGCCAATAAACATACACTGGTTGCTTAGATATTTGTTCAAATATAAAGAGTTGGTTAATTTGCATTCCTGTGTATTATTATCTAAAGGGAGACTGCTATTTATGTCTTGTAAAACATGGAGGTGTGGTATTTGAAAATTGCTGATACAAATTGTTTATGCAAGCAAAAAAGACTGCCACAGAGTGCTTTGACACATCCAACAAAGAACAATGGGTTAGTTAATTTTATCACCCTCCTTACAAAGTCACAACAAGACCATTTGTGGTTCTCAGCTATTATCATGCTAAGAAACTAACCTATCCGAATACAGTCTTTTAGTGCATTTGCACATGTGAAGCTCAAAGCTAGGGAAAACAACTTGCACTTAGTACATTAGAGATTCAAAAAAGAGGTCTTGTTCACTTGAATGTCTTGCATACTTATATAATCCTCTTTTATAGTAGTCTTATAAACTGATTTAATCAGCTCTGACTGAAGGCTTTGGCTCTTATCATTATCTTTCAATCCCCCTCTCTTTATCTGCTCAAAACTGTTATTTCAATCTTTTTTCTGCCTAACAGATATGAAAGCTTATCTTTCAGATAACTTGGAAGGCTACTTAAAAGAAGGGAAATTAGTTTGATGGGAAAATCCTGAAGCAGCTGACAGCCTCAGATCTCCTGACTGCGCCACACACTCACTTCTCTCACTGAAAAGCACAGGGCGCACACTTATTGCGCGCCAATCTCGTAGTCTTTTGAGTGTTCGTTAGTATTCCAAATTTGAACGCGACCCTCATAATCAACAACGAAGCTGTCTGCGCTGCGAGTGCCCGCCGCCAGCGTCTTCTATAATGGGAGAGTTCTAGTTTTGACGCGTCGCGCGCAGTGTACACGGAGTATTACGCGACGCATCACCGATTCTTTATTCCAATCACTCTCTCATCATGTTTCCAGAGCGCAGGTTGGGAATTATTAATTCCCAATTATTTCCTCATTTGGAATCGACGTCTGCTCGTTTCGTTTGCGATAAAGTCTGTCACACAAGAACAGATTTAAGACGCGGCGCGTTAAGTTTATACGTTCCTGTTGATTTCACGCGGTAGAAGTACAAGCTGCATTGCGTTTTTTTCCTAAACGAGGTGTTAAGGACTCCATATCAGGTTAACTGGTTTAGAGTGCTGATGGCGATAATAAAATGTAAGTTGTGCGTTTATTCGAGCGCAGCGGCATGGAGACTTAAAGGGATAGTTCACCCAAAATACTAATTCGACCGTTTTCTCACCTCCAAGTTGTTCCATACCTATATGACTTAACAAAATCCTATGTAAAATAAGATGTTAAGGCAGAATGACAGCCTCAGTCAGTATTCACTTTCGTTATATAGAAAAAAGATACATTGAAAGTGAATGGTGACTGAGGCTGAGACCTTAACATTTCTCCCACATATCATTTCGTGTTCTAGGAAAGAAAGTCATAGAGGTCTGAAACAACATGAAGGTTATTAAATTATGCCAGCATTGTCTTTTTTAAAGCAAATTATTGTTTTAAAATTATTTTGGAAATGCATGCTGAATGCTAAACGACAAACTAAAGGCCATATACTGCTGAATTTCATGACTACTGTACTTGTGAGTTTAAATTGCTATTACATTCCCCTCAAATCCCTAAGGGTCTGCCTACATTCGCAATAAAACGCCTTTTGCCATTGGAAATAAATTACAATGGATTTGAAACTTTAGAAGCAAAGTCTACTGCGTGAAGCATTGTGAGTGACTGGGATTTAAAGGATATATGCAGATTTGCTCTATGCATGTTTTGAAGGTATTTGATAACCTCAGAATGATGAAATGCATAAGGTAAAGGGTTAAAAACAGCCCCCCAAAAATAAAGCCCATAACAAAATACACTTACCTCCCCAAGCAATAGTTCAAAAAGGGAAATCAAAAAGAATATCCTCAAAGCATAAAGTCAGTCCGTAGGTTAAATCCAATGCGATGGAGGATGATTTCAATTCCCAAAAAGAGCCCAGTGTCAGAAAGGCTCAGTAGCAGCAATGGTGCGAATAGCAGGGTGTGTTTTTATTTCCACACACACTTGTTCACATACACACACACACTCCCCTTTGGCTCAGAGAGAGAGACAAGATAGAGAAGTCGGCAGAGCTGGTCACCTGCCTGGAGCTCACTACAAGTGTGAGGTTGCATCTGCCTCCAGCTCTGCTTCAACACAGCACTGATGTCATCTGGGGGTGGAGCTTGTGGCTTCCTCCCCTTTCTTGCTCTCTCTCTCTTTTTCTCTCTTTCTCTCTCTCTCTCTCTCCCTCCCACTTCCATCATGATATATTTACTGTGGACGCTAGGGGGAGCAGGAGAAAGAAAGATGAGTATTGAGCAGCCTTGAAAAGGCAGCTTGAGTGGGCACTTCATGTGTTTGTGTTGAAGGCCACCATAAGCATTATTTAGGTGAGCATTATAAGAATGAAGTAATGGAGTTTATATGTTAGAGATGCTGAGAAAAGGCAGAGCAATCTATCAGCCCTGGTATGCGCTTATTTAGATCGGAACAATGAACTTTCTTTATTTTACTGATATGTGTATGTGTCTGTAAGAGAGAGAGCTGTTAATGGCGTCTAAGTTTCACAGCGCATGATGAATTTTTAAGCTTGGAAGTCAGGCGTTATGTTCAGCCTCATTATGCTTATTAAGTATTAAAGTGGCTCCAAATGGCAAATTTGCTCCCTCATAAACCAGAGGTAGAGACTGTGTGTGTGTCATTGTCTCCAAAGGGCTTTTGAAGACCTTTGTACAGTGGAGTCTGTTCCTGAACTCAGCAGACCCCTCTGGCTGAGCGGTTATTGTGTTGTGCCTAAACTCTTTGCCAGCAGATACAGTTCTCCTACTCTATTTGTTAAGGGGATAGTTTACCAAAAAACATGAGTCATTATTTGCTAAACCTCATGTAGTTCTTTGTCTTTTATTACTAATGTGGAACAAAAAAGGGGCAATTTCTAGGCCTCTCTTTTCCATATAATGGAAGTGAATTAGCTACAATATAACCAAAAGCAGCACAAATAAGGTGGTCCATACTTTATTGACTTTCCATGGGGCATTTTTCATTCAGGTGTCATTATATTGAAAAGAGTGGCCAGTAAATTCTTTAAAAATCTCTCGTGTTTCACAAAAGAAAGCATACATGTTTGGAATGACATTATGGTGAGTGATGACAATTTTAATTTTTAGTTGAATTATCCCCTTTATGGATGGCTTTTTTCGTTTAAAAACTTGATTATATACTTATTCTCTAATGTGATTCTTTTTAGTGCACAAATTATTATTATTATTATTTTAATTACTGCATGGAATTCCATTCCTCCTACCTGCAAGTTTGATGATATTTTACTTCCCCCCCCCCCCCACCAAAAGAACGGTAAAA